TCTCTCTCTCTCTCTCCCCTGTTGTGGCCTCCAGGTGCTTCCTCCAGGGAAGAACAGCGTACTTTGTGTATCTTTCTGTTTAAAGTCGACATTTGCTGGATCAAATCTGCATTTACACTTACTGGTTAGTAGTGTGATTGTCTGTGGGCCTTCAGTATGATGTGTGCACACAAAGAAGTGCTACGACTGGGTACAAAACATTTGGGCATGATTAAAGGCAAAAATATATTTCCATCCAGTCCTTTTACCGTGGCCAAAATAACTGTGCTATTTCCATTGAAGGAAAAACATCACGGACGGAGCAATTTCTCTGAACGTCAATCAGTGACACCGATGGGCTCAGAATATCGTTGCTCATACGGATGCTGAAGAGTGCTGGATATTCAAAATAGTGTGTTATTGGTTACAGCGAAAGCAGCAGGGATGTACGACAGTCTGCATATTGCAAATAAAACTAAATAATAACAAAGTAGAGCCGTCCTCTTCCTGCGCTCTATTGGCTTCTGCTTGCTAACATCACATGTTATACATCACAGAGAGCCCCACTCCCGTGTTATATTGACTTGTGTCCATATGGCAAAAAAAAAAAAAATCAATTTAGTTCACGTCTCGCCAATTCTCCTCCCCCCTCTGGTGTGGATGCTTACGTGCAAGGGTGCCTTTGTTTCCTGTGTTCTCTTCCCACATGAATCAGCAGGGGTGACGCTTCCCAGCGGAAGCCGTCCATCAGCCACGCAGAGACGCAGAATGGAGCGTACAGAGGGTGACGCATCCACATTCATTCCAGTCGCAGCGCGCTCATCCGATGATGTCACACGGGAGAGTGTGTGACGCGGCTCGGACTCCTGACTTATAGAGCGGCTTCAGTGAGGCCGTTCAAGCTTCTTTTTTTTTTTTATCTTTGCTGAACTTTGAGTCAAATGCAATGTACGCTTCGCCCACCAGGTTGAGGTGCTGAGTTGAGTTGAAACTTTCCCTCTCTGTTGGGAACACTTGCACAGGAGAGCACGTGCTATTTTGGGGTGAGCTGTTAAAAAGAAAAGAGCCACTATAGTTTAATAGGGAATTGCATTGAAGGGAATTGCATCCGTGTTGCTTCACGATTGGGGTTGTTGGGTGAGTTGCCCCGGCAACGTGCTGAGTAAAACAATACGTGCGGTACAGCCACAGCGACGAGGACGGCAGCCACAGCGTAGCATTGTTAAAACGTACTAAACAGTGCTGTTAGATGATAGAGAGATCTGTGCCGGAGGGCAGCTGCTCTATCAAGAGCGAGGGATCATATGCACATACACGCACACACATGTGAGCAGCAGCATGTGTGCAGACAGTTGAAACACTCACACGAGTACACAGTCACGCTGCAAAGAAAAGCACTGAGCAAAGGCAAATTTAAGGGGAGGTATGTGTGTGTGTGTGTGTGTGTGTGTGTGTACAGGTCGGCCATGTTTCCAACAGGTGCTGTATATGATTAAAGTTAGCAGAGCTCGGCTGGGTGCTGCTGTTTAACATTTGGTTAAGAACAGCTGCTGTCGCTGCAGCTGTGCATACGCTCTAGCTGTTTCCTCATGTGGGCTCTGGGGCTTCGCAAGGGTTGTTTGTGTTTGTGTGTAATATTGTGAAAATGTCTCACCTGCTCCATATGTATATTTAGTGCACACTTCAGCTGTGCAAGTTTGATCATTTTTGAAAGAACTACGGTCCAGCTGGGAGCACTGTGCTGTACTGAGAGCCCGGCGCTTTTCTGGTTACTGTTTACACCACCAGTGCTGCTGACTCCATTAGTCATACTCTCTGTCTGTGTCTCCCCGTTGCTTTCTCAAACTTCCCGGCTTGCTCAACTGCAGCTGGCTCACCTTTCCCCACCGTTCACGTTTTGTCCATCTTTCCCTCCCTCTTGAGCCAGGTAGAGATGTTTGTTATGTAAGTTGCCATGTAAACAAAGCTGCAGCAACTGGCCAGCCACGGCCAAGTACACACTTGTGTGAAGTTAAACACACAAATTCAATGCACACACTCAACCAGCGCTCAACACGCACAGATTTGGCCTCGTTCAGATGGCTTATTTGCCTCATGGGTAAGTTTGTAGGCCAACAAAGCTTTTGCTGTTTTAGGATGAGCTTGGCAGGATGCTGAGGTTTCCTCTGTAGCAGATACAGGCAATGTTTAAAATATAAAGAACTGTCTAGACCTCACATGACCTGAAAAGAATCATTGCTTAAAATGTAAAACTGGATCCCTGGAGCCCGCTGCCCAGTGTGTGTCTGTGTGGATGATCAACATCCAGCTGTTCCTGCACCTCAGTCTCTCCGTCCACAGGCCTGGGCTGGTCTGCAGGGGTGGAGGTGGGGGGGCTGCAATCTTGTGGCCCCGTTGGTGTGGACCCGTTGGTACACAGATGGACCCCTGTTGCCCTGGCATTGCCCAAGCAACTGCCACGCCGGCTGGGCATCCGTTTATAGAAGTTATCCTCTTCTCCTCCCACTCTGCTCCTCTCATTTTTCAGCTCTCTCACGAGGGGCAGAACCCACTTTAGGGTGGTGGTGGTGGTGGTGGTGGTGGTCTGGGTTGCTTTAAACAGTAAGCGGCTGTCTCTATTCCTCTTAGTCTGTATGAAGTGCAACATAACACCGTGCAGCTGCCTGTTCAGATACAATACAATACACTAATGTAAAGGAAGCCTGATGGCCTAAGAGATTCCTTATTAATGGACAAAAGTCATTTGTACGGTCACGACTGCATTACTCCTAGAAACTAGTCTGTGGGCAGCGGAGACAAAGCAGCATTTCGTTTTTTAGAAGTTGTGGTAAGGAAGGTGGGTGTGGAATTCACACCTTGAGAAGCAAAAGACGTCATTGACCTTGTATTAACTTTCACAGCCTCGAAAACATTTACGCCATTGCACACTGGGGGGCTTATGTTCTGCTAATGGCAGATTGAAGTGATTTTCAGAGCAGCGCATTGCATTACATGTGGCATCACGATGACGGCGGTGATGTGAATGGACTTCTCACAGATCAGGGTGCAAAACACCACAGTTGTTACACCAGATCGAATTAGCGCCGTCCGGGCCTGCTTGGACTTGCAAGGATACGCAGCGGAAGGAAGTGTGCCTTTTCTATGTGTGTGGGTTTTTTTGTAAAAGGGAAAGGCGTAGATTTCATGCATGTGCTGCTTACTGGAGTGTGTGCATGTTCATAAATCCTTCGTCTGTGTGTGTGTGTGTGTGTGCATGCATCTGATTTAGTGTGTGCCAGGGTGCGTAAGAATCTGGCACACGCGTGTTGGGCAGGACTCACCGTGTGGGAGGAGGGTGTGTCCGGGCGCGGGATTCTCTCCATGTCTATACGGTCGTCTATTTCCAGATCACATAACTGTATGCTGGTGATTTATGTATAGGAGTAACAGGGCCCCCTGCTGGAGAAGGTCATGCAGTGTCACATATCGTGGCGTTCAGAAATCGTGAATATGCTCAAATGATATAGCTGTTATCTGCGTGAGCCAAATGGTGGAGTCGGACCACCCAGCCAGCTACATGAAACATTTTGAAACTGTACTGGCTTTTAAAAATGTCCGGCACAGGTCCAGTTTTCATGCCAGAAATATTTTGTGAAGATTACAGTTTTCTTTCTCTGACTTTATTGTGGGTTACGGGCTTTTTGCGTGGTCCAACTGTGGGGAAATGTGGTGTAAGATTTAGATCAGATTGCAGGTTTCAGTGCAGTAAAGCCTCAGATTTGTTTTTAAATCAATGTGTTGGTGCATGTTTGTGGATTCGCACACATCTGTGTTTATGATTGGTAAACATGCCTAAATCAACAGAAAACGCAAACCTCTATTACAATGTAAGCAACGAATTGGCGGTAAGCGTACCGGACATGCAGGATTTAGGTCCTAAAGAGAAATCACACGTGGGACGACTATTATATATTTTTTTCGGTCGCTTTAGAGCCGGATGGATTTATTACAGCTGAAATCCAAAGGATTTTCCATCGTGTATCTTCTCATTTTTTTCCTGCGTTGTTGCTATCTCTCAGAGAACACACACTGCTATGTTAGCACTTACTGCTCAATACTAACTGGTTCATTTTAGCAGAGAGACCAGCAGCAGTGGCCTGCGGCCGGTGGAGGTTGAATATGCTTCATTTGCCTTCGGGGGGGCGCTTCTCCCCGCCTGCAGGAGGGGCCGGGTAAAGAGAAATAAGTTCCTTTGCGACAGAGTCTACTGTGAGACGGCAGCGTCTACATTGTAGTCAGAATAGATTTACTTGTGCATCATCATCTTTACCAGGATAAGTTCATCTCGCAATGCCTCAGGCCTCCCCTCCCACAACATGAGCACAGAGCCCCATTCACATGGTCATTAAGTCATTAGGCAACTTATTTATTGATGTCTGCCTCCGGAGCGACTGAGCATGTCAGGCGACCTCCTGTGTGAGCCTGTCCTGACCATATTAGTCCACACTATGATTCTGTCTCACTTTGGATTTACTTCACCATCTGCTGTGACATTTCACTCCACCCCTGTAAACATCTGCTTGGATGGAGACTTTTTTTTTTTCTTCTCTGTGTGACTTTATGGACTTGCACTAATTTATGTGCTTAATATTATGTTAAGCGAGAGTGAGTGCGGCTTTTACAAAAACCTCACAGTTAGTCCGTGTGTTTCGAGAGTGTCAGTCATGTGATCGGGCCTGCAGGAAGTGCGATTGAATGTTTTTACTTTGACCAGGCCAGTCAAAAACGAGCGCTTCACAGAAAGGAACCAGTCTGCGAGGAAGGCTGCAGAAGGGGAGGGAGGTATGGAGGGAAGGAGAAAAGGGGGGAGGGAAGACAGAGCTAGATAGAGAGAGGGAGGGTGGGGGGTTGTCATCGTTGGCTCATTCCAAGCTCTGGACGTTGAGAAGGAGAAGAGAAGAACAATTTGCTGCTTTAGGAAGGAGAGGAGAGGTAGAGAGAGGCTTTGGATCAGTGAGCGCTCAACTCCCCCCCCCCCCCCCCCCTCCTCCTCCCTCTCTCTCTCTTGCATGGGCTCCTAATTTGGGATTTGTTTAAAAGCAGGACTGCGCCTCAAGAAGACTTTTTCCTTGCCGGGGGAAAGGGAACCCGGCTCCCTCTCTCTCGCATTCAGACGCACCCTCACACACTCACTCGCTCCCCGAAATGTCTGATTCCACTGTCAACGCGCACTTGGAAGGGATCATATCAGACTTTGAAGGTTAGTTTCGCTCCGTCTCGAGCTCTGCCGCTCACTTTTGTTCTCCTTGTGACCCCGGGGGAGCGAGGCGCTCTTCAGCCCTGCCATGAGGACACTGTTGATGGTTTCCACATGTGCGATTGACAGCGAGCGGATCTGGGAAAGGACACGGCGAGCGCGAAGGTCTCGTTGGCGTCAGGCGGTGAGCTGTGGGGACGTTGAAAGGGAAACGGTGCTAAGAGCTGTTACTTCACTTTTGTTGTGATGGATGTTTTGTGTGTGTGTGTGTGTGTCAGAGAGAGAAACGGTGCATGCAGAAAAAGTTGTGCGGCTGATTCAGCCTCTCTGAAGGAGCGACCTGCGTGACCTGTACCCCCGAGCTCCCGGGAGACGGCAACCGACCATACGGCTGTGAGGGGAACACCTGGCACCCCCCCACCCCCCTCCTCCCCCTCTCTCCCTCCCTCTTCCTTTTCATCTCTCTGCCCCTGGCCCACAGATTCCCCCTTGTCATCCCTCTCCTCCCACTCGTCCTCCTCCTCTTCGCCCAACGGCCGTGCCTCCTCTTTCCTCTGTCATCGGTTCGTCCGTCCTCGGCGGAGGAGGGTGGATGGGGGTTGGTTGACAGGCATGACACACCCCCTCTGAACCCTTTCGCCCGTCCCTCGACCCCCCTCGGGGCCTCTCAAAATGTCTACACTGGTAATTTGTGTCCTGTCTGGCACACACACATAGCCATTAGGAACGCATCCGCACTTGTCCGGAGCGGCTGCTCTGTCGACACCAGTTAGCTGGTGGTATGTTGTTGTGAATCTCTCACTCTGCCCTTTTTGGGGTCTTTCAAGCGCCGGCTTACGCAGTGAAACGGAGCAAAAAGAAAAGTGGCCGAGAAAGAGGGCTTTAACCATGTGGCTGCGAGTCATGCCTTTAGACGGGCGACCGCTCCGGCACAAAGGGTGGCTGCTGTGATTGTCCATGGTGTGCGTTGCCCTCGGTTGGGCAGAGTGGTAAAACCTTTGCGTCACATTGCGTTAGTCACCGCCGTGCGCCTGATGTACGACCCCGTGTGGCTCAGGGGCCTGGCACCGCAGCAGCTTGATAAGAATCAGGGTGAGAAAGTACACTTCTTGCCTTAAGTAAAATATTAGCTCTTTAAAATCTGCTATATTGATATTCGACACTGTAAAATAGTTGAACTACTTTTGAAAAGATGACATCATCCAACTCTGCTCCTATGAGGCTATCTGCAAAAAGCATTTGTATAAACAAATTCACAAATGTTAAATTAGTTACTATTATGAGTCATGTCATGATCAATTAAATATCACTCAGTCGTCCTCCTACAAGAATTTGTTTGTAATTTTTGTCAACCAGTTTTCATGACAGCTGGTTTTAAGGCAAGGCTATTTAAGTATTAATATGAGTAAACACATAACTGAATAAAACACACCCTTTGTTATTGCACTATGCTAAAGGCTATTACTGCTAGCACTGCCTTACTTGGTCTGGTATGACGAGGAGCTGTGGCTACACACTTTTAAATGCGTACCGCCGTAAAGTGTCGGTTCACTGACTTTAGGACTTCTGTGCTTTTAATCATTTGAGCTCTCGAATGCTGCTACTGTAAACTTTTCAGTTGATTTGTGGATGAAGGAGAGAGGTTTGGTCGTGCACCAGTGGGTCCGTTGGCTGATTGTGATTGGTGTTTCTATGTCCTGAGCTGATGACGCCGGCGAGGGACCGGAGGAGACAGAGGACGGGGTTTGGTTGCCCACGAGGCGGATGACCTCAGCCGGGGTTTCAACCACACACACTGACTCAGATAATTGACCGGGCCACTGGCTCAGAATGAACACACACACATACATTCATACAGTGTCACTTTTACAGCCGGTCGCCTCTGGTTTTTCCCTCTTAATTTAGTCATATCTGGTGAAGCGTTACGCAAGGTTTGCTGGATATTTGGTTTATGTTTAATTCATTTTCCCGCAAGAGAACGCGAGCGCGGCCGCCGATGCCAGTCGCTATGTTCCCGTCTTCCTCTCTGCCTGTCTACGCCGCAAAGGGCATAGACATAGGCTGGTCCAGTGAAAGAAAGAGTTGCTTTCTGTTGTTGGTTAAAATGTCGGGGCAGGCAGTGTAGGAGTGAATCCGAGCACAGTGTTTTTATCATTTACAAAGGGGCCACATGAAGCGTTTGACTCTGAAACATTGAGTAAAAAAAAGAAAAACCTCTTCATGGGAACTGCCACTTAGCTGTGGTGTGGGATTTTTTTCAGGAACTCCGCAGAGTTAGTTTGGCGCTCCGTTACCCAGAATACACTGTAACTGTGCTATTAAGAAGCTTTGGGGTATTTATTTCTTTTTTGCCCAAGAACAGGCTATTAACAGACTGTTTACTGTGAAGGTTTGAGGTCAGTCTTGTGACTAAACGCCACGAGGAGCCTCGCAGACGTGCTTTCAGCTCTGGCGTTAGAAGGAGGAAGTGTCTCCTGACGGAGGCTGATGATGGTCTCCATCCTTATCGGCGTTATCAGGACGATCCACGCTCACCAGCTCGGACAGGTTTCCTGCGTCAGAGCTGCTGGGAAGCACCGTGGGTCACTCTGAGGTAGAGTGAACACTGCAGGTCTTTGTTGGGATTCAAAGCTACTGCTGTTTTTCTCACCGGTGGACACGCAGAGTGAAATCTGCACGGATGCCAAAGACCAGGCGAGACCCCCGGAGTTAACGACGGGCTCCGCGCTACGGCTAAAAACCCACCGCCCGCGTTGAAAGGTTTTCTTTTGTGCGTTGAGTTGATCGGGCTTCTGCAGGGGATGGAAAGAAAAACTTTGAAAACTGTGGCAGACACTTCCAGGAGAGAACGTTGGGCCTTGAGAATATATTTAAGGGCCAAATGCTCTTATTCTGCACTTTTAGGGGGCCGTAGTTAAGGAGAGAACCTTTCTACAGAAAGGGAGTGATCAACACGTCAGACTGGCCATTATTGCAAAATGTTTGACTCACATCCTGGTCCTGGGTTCCTTGTTCCCACGGTAACAGTGCACACGGTTCATTGAGCAGCTGTTTTTTGGGGGGTCTGTATCTCTTTAGAGTGATGCCAAACAAACCTCGGTTAACTTGCTGAGGAGTTGGAGACATCATCTAACACTTTGCTGTCCTCAACTGTTGCTTCTTTTCACACAAATATTGTCCCGGAAATCGTCCCGGTCACCAGTTCACTCGCTGACAAAGTCATTACTCACCCTTCCTCGCGACCGCAATCCTGTCCTTTACCACTTTGGATGTGAACAGTAGGGAATGTCGCATATGCATAAGCAGTAACATAAGAGTAGTGAGAAAATGAATAAACTGTGAGGCTTGTAATGCAAAATAAAAATGACCAACAGTGATGCTGTATTACATGTATGTTAAGGTCATTTAAAACTGGCAAAATGTTGGACTATATGTTGTATGCTTGGCTGCAATGTCTTCCTTATTTGGCAGTTCAGTCCAGAGAAGCAGCAGCTTGGAGACACCAAATGGTTTTATCCTCGACAAAAAACACACATCTGTACGGCTATTCCTCTTTTTTTTTTAAATGCAAATAACGGATGGAGGGTTATTAACGTGTGACCTCCCCATCTACCGTCATTCACACACACACGCACATCCCAGAATGCAGTGCGGTGCGACGTCAACAGAGGCAAAGAGTTTGGGTTCAACCCGGACCGACTGAGCTGCGTTTAAACACACACACATAGAGAGAGAGAGAGAGGGAAGCGTAACGGACGGGGTCTCTGAGCAACGCACCTCATGAACAGTACATGCAATGTTCATTAAAGGCTGAACGGGGGAAATTAGACAAACCATTCCTGGTTAATTTCCTGTCTATATAAACATCCTTATGTCGAAGGCCTTTGCTATTGCATCCAGTGAACGTTACATACAATGTCACTTAAAGAAGAACACAGATAAAGGACTACACACACTTCTGGAAAAGTGAACAAAGCAAGTTTTCTATTTCATGAGAGCAACACAAAGAGCTTCTCTCAGAGACGGATGAAACACTTTACGATGCGCGTTTGAAGTTTTTTTTTCGCCATCGCCTTTCTTTCTATTGTCTTACTTGTCACTCAGTGGTGAAATAAAAAAGTGCCGGAATTGTCACTTGGAGTTAACACACAGGAATGCATTTGTACAGTATTCTGTACTTATGACTTATGGAGGCAAATCAGCAAGAGACATTTATGGACATTACAGTCTTTCAAATGAGCACAACTGTCTGCTTCTGAGGAGACCCTCTGATATCTGACCCCAAAACCTGCTAAAACATTCCCAGGATGAGTAAAAGCCTTGAATCAAACATCGATAACTAAAAAAATGCTGTTGGTGAAATATTGGCAGGGAGATGGCCGAGTTTTGATAATAATAAATTCCTACACAAAGAAACTTGCCATTTAAAATCTCTTTTCAATTCTTTAAAAAAATCTTCAGCAGCATAGCAAACATGACATTTAATGTTTCTCTGAACGTCTCACCCACAACGACAAATAATATAAAAGTAAAAAACAAATTCAAGCTTCACACAAAATATTTTTTGCTCTATTTATTTGCTGAAATATAAACTATATATGTATATATATATTTATGTCTTGGTTTTGGAAGGTTTTTAATATCAAACCGAACAAATGTTACGAACAATATCTTTATTTTCACCACAATTTAGTTATTTTCCCCCCCGTGGATGAAATAGTTATTTGGCGCAGGCGGTCAGGTGATCAATAAATCAGATGTCAGGTGTGTGAGAGAGACGTCACATCGTCAACAGACCGCCCGTATAGTGTCATAAAGGTCGGCGGGGGGATTTACGTCACCTCTACGTGCGCGCGTACCTGAGATTATTACCGGAACCTTGTCGCTAACCTCGGTGGAGTATTCTTCTTCTTCTTTGAAGGGAATTAGAAATCACGGACGCGATGCTGTCGAGCTACGTGAAGCGCGTCAAACGCGGTGAGAGCAGCACGCGCCGCCGCGTTCACCGCACGCGCACAGTGACCGCATTGACCCGCGTCAATCGGTCCTGTTTAAACGCGTGACTTTCTTCCTCCTCATTTGCATTAATTGTTCCCCCCGCAGCAAAAACGTCAACATGTTGATCGTGGGTTTTGTCAGATGTGAATTTCCTCTGACGCAATAAATGCACAGGTGGTGCTGCTTGTGGTTTGAGTTGCTGCATGTGTCTCTAATGGAGTTCAAGGCTAAAGGTCACGCAAATGATCACCACTCCAGGATCTTCGCTTCGGACTTGTTGACCACGTTTTGTTCGCATAATGACCCTGAAATGCAGAGGGAAATATCATTGAGCTCCTGAACCAGCATCTAAAAGGTCAAATGCATCCGTTTCCCTTCTGACCTCGAATGCTCTGTGTCTTCCAGCGCTGAAGCGGTCGTTCGAGGTGGAGGAGGCGGATTCCTCCGCGACCTCCTCGCCCCTGACTCGCCGGAACACCAACCCCCTCCGCTCATCGTCCTCCTCCGCGTCCAGCCAGCGCAGCTACGACCTGAGCTCCCGCAACTCCGACTTCTCCTCCACCAGATCCTCCCCCTCGGAGTCCTCCAACCCGCGCTCCCCGAAGGCGGGCATGAGGCGCGTGGAGTTACCGGGCCGTAACCCCGACGCGGCCTCGTCCCGCCGCACCGAGATGTCCATTGAGGTGTCCTCTAAGCAGATTGACAGCTCGCCCAGCGCTGGCATTGCCCGCTTTGGTCTCAAGCGCCCCGAGGTCAGCTTGAGCAATCGGAGTACTCACCTGGACAGCTCCTCCAACTCCGTCGCCGGCTCCGCAAACCGGCGGGCGGAGCTCAGCGCCACGCGGCCCCACGACCCCCCGGCGCCGCCCAAGAGGGTCGACGCCCAGCTGTCCTCGCCGCCGATCTCGAGGATCCCCGAGCCCCCCCAGAGAAGAGGGGAGCCCGCGTCCCCGAGCACCGGCTCCGGCGAGGGGGCCTCGAGGAGGCCGGAGATGCCCGTCTTCAGGCAGCCGGACGGATTGGTGCCGAGCGGCGCACTGGAGGACGACGACGACTACCACCACAACCACCCGCCTCCAGCTCCCAGTGCTCCTCCGCCTTCCCTGACAGAGCCGAGGGTGGAGAGGATGCGGTCCCCTGTCACAGAGGCCCCCCTGGCCCGGCCAGCACACAGTGAGTACCTGATCAGCTCAGCGAGCTTTTCTAAACTAACACTGCTGTGTGAAATGAAATGGCATCAATGTGGGATCGCTGATGCAGTGAAGCCTCTCCTCCCCTTCTGTTATCTCCACTATCTGGTTTGTGCATGTGGACAAGTCTAGACTGACTGAATGTAGGTCAGGCAGAGTGATGAGGAGAATCCCAGGGTTCCTCTCAAAGAGGCCTTTCAGAAGTACGAGTTAGAAAACTGAGCTCCCTCACTGGAAACCTTAGTTTATTGTGTGTTGGAAAGGACGTAGGCGCTGATAGGGACGAAGCAAGTTTTGTTAGGTACTGATCTTTTTGGTCTTTTGACTTTCCTTTTCTGTTAATTGCTTGCTTGACTTTTGCAAGTTACACCTCACTTCTATAGTCATTTTTTCACATTAAGGTAAATTATCATGGAAGCCATCCAAAATCGAATCAGTGCAGAGGCACTATTGATGAAACCTGATATTTAAGTTCACCTCATGACCTTTCCTTAAGCGACACCTTGTGGACAAACTCTGTATTGTTCATATTCTGGCAGAAATCCTATGATTATCTAGATTGGATTTTATTTGCGATGCTTTAATGCATCGGCTTATATATCACAACTTTTCTTGCAGCTTTTTTGTCCGGTTTCCTGGTGAAACTCATGTGGGTGTAACTAATCTAGAGGCCGCTGTGCTCATGGGTTGCTCGCGCTGGTTGAGGAGTATCCAGGCGTGGGCGGCTGAAACATTCCAAATGCGGAGGTCATAAAACCTTCAACATAAAAATAGTAAACCTCCAATTTCCTCTTTTCACACTGTGTGTCTGCGTCAGTCGCTTATTCTGCAGACAAGAAGGGGCTAACGTTGATGTCTGACTTTTGGCCGAGGCCATGGTTTCTTCGGTAGTAGGTGAATCACTCTGCAAATATGCATGCTAAATATCTGAACTGTGGCCTCATTTTAGTAGAAGGCGGGGGGGTGAAAGGATTAAGTCTCAACTTCAGCCACATTTTAGCTCCGATTACCACCTTTCTGCTCAGCGGTGCACGTGGAAGGCGGGAGGCGCTGCTTAAAAGAAGCTGGAGAAGAAACAATGAGCAGATACGAGTTGGGGAAAGCGAGACAGGGAGAAAGAAAGCGGAGGTTCAGTGGGCACGAGGGAAGAAGCGGAAACATGGGGGCGGCGGCTTAAAGCGCGCAAGAGATTTCTTGCAAAGAACCCGCACGGTCTGGAAGAAAAACAAACTGAGACACGCCCACTTTAACCTCAAGTGATTTGGTAGTAAACCCTAACGACCTAAAAGCTGACAGGCCGCACTGCTTTGATGAATGGTCCGAAAGTACAATTTATGTTCCATTTCCTCAACAAGTACACGCACTGTGGATTCAGACGCATTCTTCTTGTTCTCTTTAATCCTTTTGTATTTTTTGAAAAGGGGGAAACTGAGTCTGTCTCTCTGTTTACTTTACTGCTTGTATCGACACCGAATCCGGAGGGAAGTGTGTTTTGTTTCATGCGTCCCGTTAGGCCAATTAGCTGGTTGCCTGACGGCTGATGGGGTATTTCAGATCTACTTGCTTCCGGGCTCTTGGTGTGTTTGTGTCTCTGTGCTCACATACAAGTATTCGTATTGAATACGTGCATTCATCCTCACACGGATGAGGACTTTAAGAATGTGGCGCCTGTTGTGAGGCGCACGCCGCTGTGTGACGTGCGCTGTTGTTCGCTTGATTTGTTGGCTAATCACGAGCAGCTGTTTGTAGTCTCGTGCTTCAACAGGATGTGATCCCAAGTGGACGGACAGACGCACACATTCATTCCTTCAGCACGCTGCTCACTTCAGTTTCCTGTCCCAGAGCGCCGCCCATTTTGTCTCTGCTGCTGCGTTGCATGTTACATAGCATGTAGCATTCTGCTGCATCTACTCTTGTTTACATCGCATCATTTTTTGGGTCGGGTTCGGTTTGCATATTAAATAATTTGCTGTATAACGTGTTTTTGCAAGTGCAATGCATTGGAAGTGCCTACACTCATTGTGTATAGTGGGTTCCTGTTGGTGCTTTAGCTCATTTCAGTGGACGTGTGACTCGCTGGTAATGGACGACTCTGCAGTACCAGTGAATAATTGCAGCTCCATTAAATCAAATCATCTGGGAATTCTCACAGCTGGACGTGAATGGAAAGGTGGCTGCATGAGAAACGCGTTGTGATGATCTGCAAGCTCTTGGTGTCAAAGTAATCATTCTCCTTCCGTCCTCTCACTCCCCCGCGACACGGACACTGACCGCTGTGTTTTCTGGGGAGGTCATTCAAGTATTTCCCCACTGTTTTACTGAAAAGAATGGCGTCAAACTCCTTTCAGATAATACTTTTATCTGTCGTCATACTTGAGGAATTTGTCATTAAGCGTAGTCAGAATTTACAATTTTAATAGTTTTATTTTTTTAAAAACACAACCGCACATATGGAGTATTTAGTTTAGCTTATTTTCTATGTTGTATATCATTTAGAAAAATCAACATGGACTGCTGTTCATACAAGTTTCATTAATCATTTACTAGAAAAATAATGAACACGATTGTGTTTTTGTTCAATAAATGTCCCAGAATGCTCGTAACTGGAAGTGAGAGCGAATGTCAACTTTCAGCTCACTGTGTCATAAATAAATGAACCTAATTTTTCCTAAGGAACCGCAGTCCCTGTTTTGTTATTCAACATTGGCTCTTCAGAGGAATCTTTCTTAATAATAATAATAATATTCTGAAAGCGTAGTCGGCGGCTGCAGTTCTCGATGACTCATCATCTTTTCATCAGCTGGGTCTCGCGCTGGCCTGCTCAGTGTTATCTTGTCTCCATCACATTTAAACCGCATTCACACATAAACAGGAAGATCAATTTCTTTCTTTTTTTCAGGCGGCCTTGGACTTGGCTAGAAACAAAGACTTGTGCGTGTCACAAGTGAATGGCTTGATGATAAATCGTCTATCTGTGTGTCTGGCTTGTGTTCATCCAGTTTCCTTGAACTTAAAATGAAAACACCGAACAAAAGTACATCAGTCTGACTTAACTATAATAAACAATTTCAGCAAAGAATACTCAAAACAACATTTACAAAATAAGCTAATATACTACAACATAGAATATGGACGAATGCACGCAACAATATATCAGATCAACAATTTGTAACATATAAGCATTAAAAAAATCCTTTTATCAGTGCAATATACATTTGTTTCATCCCTATCAGACATATAATTAATCATCAGTGAGTTATTACTGCTCGATTTGACATGCTTTAGCATGACTATGTGGCTTGGCTTAAGCATTATAATATACAATAAAATGCATTTTGCTCGGTTCAAATATCCTTTTCTTATCAAATTCACCGGATATTTATACAATTCACAAATATTAATTTTACCTTATTCTAACTACTGACTCACGGGACACGGTGGAATACTAACTGCAATATTGTGGACATAAGCATGCACCTTCTGTAAGGCCACCTCTATGCAACCTAAACTAATGTCCACTGCTCCCCTGCTTATAAATTATCCTGATTATTACATTATTAGGACTTATTTTTCCTTTTTTATTATTGACACGTTTTCTCATATCATTTTTTTAAACAAAAAAACAAGTAATATAATTAAAACAATGACAATAGAGCAAATGCTAATCCATTTGCACCAGCTGTCCTGGGGAGGAGAGTTATTGTCAAAGCCTGATTCTATGTTCATGGTCACAAAGCTATGATTTTGGTCCTCATCGCTACTGACATCTATTGCAACATAACCTTGGTTTCGAATAGGTCTCGGGATGTTGGTGTTGCTTCTTGAAAAATTGCTTTCAGGACTTCTCATGGTTTTCGGTCTGTTGTTGGGACTTTTGAAGGAGTACTTTTCCTGGATCACGATAAACAGCAGCAGTCCAAGGCCAGCGAGGTCCCCCCATGTGTTTCTGATGGAGGAAACGTCAGCGTTGCTTCCAAAGTCGTTTCTGAGTTGCCCCAGTTGCTGTCGGTTTTGTCCAACGGAAAACTGTCTGATCTCTCTCAAGAAGTTGACGGTGATCCTGTAGGTGTGATGTGGATCATACAGGGTTCCCGGGTTCTCCGAAGTGTCATAATGCTGTGTGATGTAGACCTGGTCTATCCTCTGCAGATCTTGCCCTTGAGTGTTCTGCCTCCTGATGCGAATTATGATTCTGTCCCTGTTTCTACCGAAGTACTCCGTTGCCGGGGGATGGCGAACATAAGGAGGAAGTGGCACGAAGGTTTCCTGGTTGAGATTACCAATAGTGTAGTACTGGTATTCGTTTCCCCAAGGCAGCGGGTCCAGCAGTCCTTCATAGTTCCCATAATGATGTGAGCCATAATCCCCAGCGTTTGGGTCAAAGGTCAGCGATATGATGTTGTTGGCATCGATGTCAACAGCGTTGGCAAACCAGTAGAGCAGCAAAAGACTGTGCTTGGGCACGGATTGAGCAAAGTTGATTTTCTTCAAACCGGTGATTGATTTAAGCTTCGTCTGTCCAGCTGACACGGAGGTCAGGACGAGGAGCAGAGCTACACAGCAGGTCACGGCGTTTCCTGCCATCTTCATCAACCTGTGTACACCTATATATTAAAGTTAATTGTCATTATTCATCCATACTGTACTTTCTTAATCCATACTATATATTTGGAACCTGTGATGCATCAAATTTCTCCCGATTTGATCAGGTGGCCATTTGAAGACTAAACAAGATTTGTTTGTTGTTGTTCCTTCTGCTCATACTGACGAGAACCATGCCGCTATTACGAAGGAACAAACTCTTCTCATTCTGTGCAAATATGTACTTGTAAGATTATCTGATGTTAAAGAGGCTTCAGCACCCTGATTTAATCAAATTAAGTGAATATCCTCAAGTTGGTGTTGTTGTTCCCCTTTTAATGTTTCAACATAGTGTTTCCTCTTTGAGTTCAGTGTAACAATGATCTCACGCTCACAAAAGACTTACTGATACAAAACTCTCAATCAGAACATCGGAGTAAGAGAACTCACCTGAGTAAGTCTGCTGCCGCCGGGTATCTGATCGTTTGAGAATAAGTGTGTCACAACTTCTACGTTATTGCTTCGCTGTAAATGAAACTGCAAAACCAGCCTTTCAGGAAATCGAATTAATACTGCGTTACTTCTCAGCAGTCTGTTGGTTCCCCGTCACGTGACTGCAAAAAGGGTTGACAGTCGGTGTGTCCTTCGGATGAAGGTCCAATCTTTGTGCAAAAGATAGAGAAACTGCAGCACTTGTTGTGTTTTTTTTATTTTTACATGTTAGTGTTCTGTATATGTATATTTCTAAATGTGAGATCAGTTCAAAAAACAACAACCTGAAACTAACCTGGCCCCACCCTGACTGATTTCCTTGTACTTTGTACCAATTTACAACAAAGGCTATTTACAATCTGCCATGATAAGTATGTTATACACTGGAGCCTTTAGATGTGGATCATACAGGGTTCCCAGGTTCTCCGAAGTGTCATAATGCTGTGTGATGTAGACCTGGTCTATCCTCTGCAGATCTTGCCCTTGTGTGTTCTGCCTCCTGATGCGAATTATGATTCTGTCCCTGTTTCTACCGAAGTACTCCGTTGCTGGGGGATGGCGAACATAAGGAGGAAGTGGCACGAAGGTTTCTTGGTTGAGATTACCAATAGTGTAGTACTGGTATTCGTTTCCCCAAGGCAGCGGGTCCAGCAGTCCTTCATAGTTCCCATAATGATGTGAGCCATAATCCCCTGCGTTTGGGTCAAAGGTCAGCGATATGATGTTGTTGCATCGATGTCAACAGCGTTGGCAAACCAGTAGAGCAGCAAAAGACTGTGCTTGGGCACGGATTGAGCAAAGTTGATTTTCTTCAAATCGGTGATTGACTTAAGCTTCGTCTGTCCAGCTGACACGGAGGTCAGGACGAGGAGCAGAGCTACACAGCAGGTCACGGCGTTTCCTGCCATCTTCATCAACCTGTGTACACACACACATTATTTCTCCCATTATTCATCAATATATATATTGTAACCTGTGATGCATTAACTTGTCACAAAGCAATAAATTCTCATTGCTCATTCTGTGCAAATGTGTATTTGTAAGTCTATCAGATGTTAAAGAAGCTGAGTGAATATCCTCCCAGGTTAGTGTTTTTATGACCAAATTCCCTTTTAATGTTTCTGATGTTAATGTTTCATGTTGAGCTGCAGTGTAACAATGAAACCACAAAGCGGATAAGACGCTGACAAAAAATACTTCTTCTAGGTTGTCGCTTCGCTGTAAATGACGAAATGGTGCTACCGTCTTGCTTTCTCCGATGTAGCTGACTGCTGACAATTTGATAGATTAGTTTGTTCATTATCACATATTTTTATTTGTAGAATATAAACATTTTTAAACACAACATATTTAATTATTGAACAGTGCTTTTTTTTCTTAACTAGTAAACCTTCACGTTCTGAACAATTATAGTTTTAAGCTTTCTATCGGTAGTTAAGATGCTACCAAACGGATCAACTATAGGTACAAGCTGCTAATAATAATGTGTGCCCTTTGCATCTCTTTCCAGCTGTCTCCAGGCTTTTGTGCCTGTGCACCAGCCGAGCGCCTGTTGAAGCCGAGATGGAGGAGGCACATGTTGTTTTTGTGCCATTTAGAGGGCAAATGCGTGCATTTTAGCAGTTGAGTCACTTTCCAAAAGTTGCTGTAAGTGCCAACCCTTATTTTATAAATAGCTCAATTTCTTGCTTAGTGCTGTTTGAAGATGTGTCCAGGCTAGTCTGAAAAGCTAAATCTACCAACAAAGTTGCTTAATTAGGAACACTGGACAAGCATCTTGAAATGTGTCAAGAGGGACACGCACAAAAATCACAATTTTCCTTGATTTTGATTTTTAATTTGGGTGAATTTTGGACCTAACAGTTTAGGTCCAAACATAAGTCCCTTTCAAACATTTAAGACCATTCCCTCATTACACAATATCTGATCAACAATGTGTAACATGTAAGCAGTAAAAAGCCTTTTATTTCCACCACATTATTTATCAGTGCATTATACATTTGCGTCATCCCTATCAGACACGTAATGAGCGAGTCATTACGGTTGGATTTTACATGCTGCAGCTTGACTTTGTTGCATAACTTAAGCTTGGAGCTTAAGGATCAAAGCACTGCATTATAATCTACAATGAAATGCATTTTGCTCGGTTCAAATACTTTTTTCATAACAAATGAACCGGATATTTAAACAATTCACATGAACAGTTTTATCATGATCCTTATTCTAACCACTGACTCACTGGACACGGTCAAATACTAACTGCAATATCGTGGACATGATTATGCACATTCTGTGTTGTATACTGTGTGGCCACCTAATGTCCACTGTTACCCTGTTTATCATTCATTATCCAGATTTTTTTTTTTTTTTATCGGACTTTCTCCTTTTTTTTACTATATTTCACATTTCATTAGATTCCACCTTTTTTTTAATATTGAGACTGCTGCACAGCAATTCAATTGACAATACAAAACGTTTTCTCATATAATTTCTTTTTGATACAAAACAAATAATATAACACTCAATGAAATTAAGAAAAAGGTGGCAATACAGCAAATGCAACAAATGCAAAGGCATCTCCGCCGGCGGGGAGGTGAGTTATTGTCAGGGCGTGATTCTATGTTCCTAGTCGCCCGGCTGCGATTTTGGTCCTCATAGTTATTGAAATCTATTGCAACATAACATTGGTTTTGAATAGGTCTCGGGATGTTGGTGTTGCTTCTTGAAGCATTGCTCTGAGGACTTCTCGTGGTTTTCGGTCTGTTGTTGGGACTTTTGAAGGAGTACTTTTCCTGGATCACGATAAACAGCAGCAGTCCAAGGCCAGCGAGGTCCCCCCATGTGTTTCTGATGGAGGAAACGTCAGCGTTGCTTCCAAAGTCGTTTCTGAGTTGCCCCAGTTGCTGTCGGTTTTGTCCAACGGAAAACTGTCTGATCTCTCTCAAGAAGTTGACGGTGATCCTGTAGGTGTGATGTGGATCATACGGGGTTCCCAGGTTCTCCGAAGTGTCATAATGCTGTGTGATGTAGACCTGGTCTATCCTCTGCAGATCTTGCCCTTGTGTGTTCTGCCTCCTGATGCGAATTATGATTCTGTCCCTGTTTCTACCGAAGTACTCCGTTGCTGGGGGATGGCGAACATAAGGAGGAAGTGGCACGAAGGTTTCTTGGTTGAGATTACCAATAGTGTAGTACTGGTATTCGTTTCCCCAAGGCAGCGGGTCCAGCAGTCCTTCATAGTTCCCATAATGATGTGAGCCATAATCCCCTGCGTTTGGGTCAAAGGTCAGCGATATGATGTTGTTGTTGTCGATGTCAACAGCGTCGGCAAACCAGTAGAGCAGCAAAAGACTGTGCTTGGGCACGGATTGAGCAAAGTTGATTTTCTTCAAATCGGTGATTGACTTAAGCTTCGTCTGTCCAGCTGACACGGAGGTCAGGACGAGGAGCAGAGCTACACAGCAGGTCACGGCGCTTCCTGCCATCTTCTTTAACCTGTGTAAACCTATATATTAAAGTTAATTGTCATTATTCATCCATACTGTACTTTCTTAATCCATACTATATATTTGGAACCTGTGATGCATCAAATTTCTCCCGATTTGATCAGGTGGCCATTTGAAGACTAAACAAGATTTGTTTGTTGTTGTTCCTTCTGCTCATACTGACGAGAACCATGCCGCTATTACGAAGGAACAAACTCTTCTCATTCTGTGCAAATATGTACTTGTAAGTTTATCTGATGTTAAAGAGGCTTCAGCACCCTGATTTAATGAAATTAAGTGAATATCCTCAAGTTGGTGTTGTTGTTCCCCTTTTAATGTTTCAACATAGTGTTTCCTCTTTGAGTTCAGTGTAACAATGATCTCACGCTCACAAAAGACTTACTGATACAAAACTCTCAATCAGAACATCGGAGTAAGAGAACTCACCTGAGTAAGTCTGCTGCCGCCGGGTATCTGATCGTTTGAGAATAAGTGTGTCACAACTTCTACGTTATTGCTTCGCTGTAAATGAAACTGCAAAACCAGCCTTTCAGGAAATCGAATTAATACTGCGTTACTTCTCAGCAGTCTGTTGGTTCCCCGTCACGTGACTGCAAAAAGGGTTGACAGTCGGTGTGTCCTTCGGATGAAGGTCCAATCTTTGTGCAAAAGAGAAACTGCAGCACTTGTTTTTTTTTTTTTTTTTTACATGTTAGTGTTCTATATATGTATATTTCTAAATGTGAGATCAGTTCAAAAAACAACAACCTGAAACTAACCTGGCCCCACCCTGACTGATTTCCTTGTACTTTGTACCGATTTACAACAAAGGCTATTTACAATCTGCCATAAGTTTGTTATACACTGGAGCCTTTAGTGAAGTCTGAGCAGCCTTTATACTCCTGCACCAATAAACTGGGACAGTCTCCACATCTGCATTTTTGCAGCCTAAGTTCACCAAATGAAGTATTTTTACTTTTAAGTTACTGTCAATACACCATACAAATTAAAGTGCTCCACCAATTATGTAGAATAGTGCCTGGTAGTTACTAAAAACAAACGTGATCATAGATTAAAGAGAGCTCACCTGCGTTTGTCTGCTGCTGTTCCCCCTCTGATCTGTGTGTTTTGTGTGAGGCTGTTCAGCTTCCTCTTGGTTACCGTTTCCTTGAAAATGAAACTGTGAAATTACAGAGTTGCTTCTATTGACTGGAAGTTGCATAATAAAACTGTTTTGGATTTGTTTTCATTCTCGAGAGAGTGGAAGTGGCTAACAAACGTTTTTTTGTATTAAAATAAATACTCATTCTGATTTGAGAATTATGGTTTAATAGAAAGAAAACCAAAGCTGAAATAAACTTGTTTTATTTTTTTTAAAGGTAAAACATGATCAATTACAAATGCTGTTAACAGAGCGTAGACTCCGTTGTACCTCTCTCAGGTACAGGAAGAATGACCAGGGAGTCTTTTCTATTAGATTAAAGCATTTCAGTGTTGCCTGAATGAATCTTGGAGCTTAATGACCATGCAAGATGAGTGTATTATAATATACAATGAAAGATTTTGCTCAGTTAGATTTTGCTCTCACACACACACACACACACAAGTCCTGCGTCAAGGCTACTCCAAGGTCTTCATCTTTGTAGCAGAAACACATAGTTGCAAGAAAAACAGGGTGGGGGTTCTGGGCAAAACCCAAGTGCTGGTAGTCGCCCTCGGATGTAGACGATCATCTCTGGCACCACAAGATTATGAACATTGACGCACAAACGTCTTGATTATCAGATGACCCAGAACACCGTGTACCTCTGTGCAGATGAGCATGGACTTTCTGTCGTACGAAAGTGGAACATTATTGCAGTTTTTCCAACAAGGTCTGAACATTCTAAAGATACTCGGACATCGGGAATTGAAGGAATTTGGCAGCACGTCACCAGACGATATACCAAGAATAATATTTCACCATAAACATAATAAAGTAAACAATAAAATTGAATATGAGGAGTTAAATCAAAGCAATACTCCTGGCCCTTATTCACAAGTACTGCTTGATCCTTGTTTATTTCTTTCAATAGATTGCTGGCTTCAAGGTCCTAATCCCCCTTTAAAAAGCTGTACCGTCTCACCTCGGTTTACACCATCTACTGTTCTTCCTCCGCTCTCGCCAGCTACTTGCCATGTGTTGCAAGACCAAATACGGCAAAGACAAAAACAACCACTACTAATGCAAGAATAATGCACATCACAAAACCATCATTTTGCATGTTTGCACGTCCATAGTTGCTTTGAGGTGTGAAGTTGCTTCCTGGTGTGTAGCTTTGCTGTGTGTAGTAGCTTTGAGGTGTGAAGTTGCTTCCTTGTGTGTAGCTTTGCTGATAAAAAGAGCGGCTCCCCTGGATCACAATTAACAGCAGCAGTCCAAGGCCAGCGAGGTTCCCCCATGTGCTTCTGATGGAGGAAACTGCAGCGTTGCTTCCAAAATGGTTTCTCAATTGCAACAGCCGCTGTTGGTTTTGTCCAACAGAAAACCGTCTGATCTCTCTCAAGAGGTTAGCAGTGATCCTGTAGGTGTGATCTGGATCATATTCTCCCTCATTATCAATGTGCTGAGTGATGTACACTTGGTCTATCCTCTGCACCGCTCGCATTCCTGTGTTTGGCTGCGTGATACGAACAATGATTCTGTCCCTGTTTCTTTCTCCATACACTGTTGCTGGGGGACTGACAACATAGTGAGGGAGTGACATTTCACTGTCTTGATTGAGACTACCAATAGTGTAATACTTGTATGAATTACCCCAAGGCAGCGGGTCCAGCAGTCCTTCATAGTTACCATAATGATGTGAGCCATAATCTCTGTTGTCTGGGTTAAAAGTCAGCGTCATGGTGTCGTTGCCTTCGATGTCAACAGCGTTGGCAAACCAGTAGAGCAGCAGAAGACTGCATATGGGCACCGATTGACCAAAGGGGATTTTCTTCAGATCGTTGATTGAATTTAGCGATCTCTGTGCAGCTGACACTGTGGTCGGGATGAGAAGCAGAGCTACACAGCAGATCATGGCTCTTCCTGCCATCTTCATCATCCTGTATGGATATTATACATTATTTATCCCATTTATTTATCCACACTGTACTTTCTTAATCTATACTAAATCTTTTTAACTGGAGATGCATCAAATTATTATGTTTTGATTAGTCCGGTGGCCATTTGTAGGTGTATTATGAAAGAAAGAACAGTTCTCATTCTGTGCAAATATTTATTTGTAAGTTTATCTGATGTTATTATTTCTTATCTGAAGAGGCTTCAGCACCCTGATTTAATCAAATTGTTATTATCAACTCCCTCTTTAATGTTTCAATAGAAAGTCTTTCCTGTTGAGTTGCAGTGTAACGATGAAATTGAGGACAAAATATTTACATAAAATACTAATTAAACAAAACTAGGCATCAGAACATGCAAGAACTCACCTGAGTAAGACTGCTGCCGCCGGGTAACTGATCGTTTATGAGAAAGTGTCGCAAACCTGCTTTACAGCTTCGCTGTAAATGAAACTGACAACCAGTATAGCTTTGTTAAAGTACAGTGACAGTGGGTGTGTCCCAGCTTTATTCTACGTCCCAACTGTTGGCAAAGTGCAACGTTGAATACTAAAAAGAAAACGTGATCATAGAATAACGAGAGCTCCTGTCAGTCTGCTGCCGTCACGTAGTTGAACTCATGCTAAAAATACATTTAATATTAGATACGTTTTATGGACTTAAGATGAGAGAAACTCCTTTTATTTATATATATATATATATAAAAAATAAAATTATTTTAATCAAATCTGTCATAATAATATAGTAATCATCATGGGGCCTTTCACTTTTAATTTTTTTTTAACTAACTCTTTGTATCTACTAGTTACAGGAAGAATGATTTCTATTAGATTAAAATGCTCAAGCAGGGCAGTGTTGCCAGATCAGTGTATTGTAATATTTATACTTGTGTACAAATTGAATTTTCTGAGGATCTTCAGATAGTCACAGCAGTTTAAGACTGATGATTTGAAGTATTTTTGGCATTTGAACATCAGTAATTTAGAGACTGGCAGCCTTGTGGTCATAATCGTCGTGAAACATCGATACCGTCAAACCTTGTTTTGGACAAATGGTCCCTTATTTTGTTATATAAATCTTCAATGATTTAAGGAAATAAATGAATAAACAAATTAAACACAAAACGATAGGAATGCAGATTATTAAAGCGTCATCATCCCCATTAGCTTCTACGTCTCCGGGTTCGTGGGTGATTTTTGGTTCAAAGTTATTTTGTGGTCTGTAGGTTAAGAGTTCATATTTGTTTTCTGATCTGCTGTTATTTTGTGGTTTGTAGTTTTCTGGTCCGTAGTTCTTTAGGGGTTCAGAGTCGTGTGGTGGTCCGTAGTTCTTTAGGGGTTGAGAGTCGTGTGGTGGTCCGTAGTTCTTTGGGGGTTGAGAGTCGTGTGGTGGTCCGTAGTTCTTTGGGGGTTGAGAGTCGTGTGGTGGTCCGTAGTTCTTTGGGGGTTGAGAGTCGTGTGGTGGTCCGTAGTTCTTTGGGGGTTGAGAGTCGTGTGGTGGACCGTAGTTCTTTGGGGGTTGAGAGTTTAGTGTGCTGGAGCCGCTCGTTGCGGCGTGACAGTCCTATTTCCATCCCGCATCATGAACTGGGTTGAGAGTCGTGGTCCAGGTCCGTAATTCTTTAGGAGTTCAGAGTCGTGTGGTGGTCCGTAGTTCTTTAGGGATTCAGAGTCGTGTTTGGGTCCGTAGTTCTTTAGGGGTTCAGAGTCGTGTGGTGGTCCATAGTTCTTTAGGGGTTCAGAGTTGTTTTCTGATCTGCTGTTGTTTTGTGGTCCGTAGTTGTTTTGCGGTGTGTCGTGGATTTCCGAGCTGTTTTGCTGGTGAAAAGAGGACCTTTCCTTGATCACGATAAACAGCAGCAGTCCAAGTCCAGCGAGTTCACGCCACGTGTTTCTGATGGAGGAAACGTCCGCGTTGCTTCCAAAGCGGTTCCTGAGCTGCAACAGCTGCTGTTGGTTTTCTCCAACAGAAAACCGTCTGATCTCTCTCAAAAGGTCCGTAGTGACGCTGTAGGTGTGATCTGGATCATATTCCCCCTGATTACAATATGCTGGGTGATGTACACTTGGTCTACCCTCGGCTGTAGCGGTGTCCGGGTCCCTGACCCGAATTATGATTCTGTCCCTGTTTCCTGCCACGTACCCGGCCAGTGGACGGACAACGTAAGGAGGAAGTGGCATGGAACTGTCTTGATATAGACTGCCTATAGTGTAGTACCGGTATGATTTGTCCCGAGGCAGCGGGTCCAGCAGCCCCTCGTAGTTACCATAATAATGCGAGCCGTAAGCTCTACTGTCCGGGTCAAAAGTCAGGCTTATGTCGTCATTCTCGTCGATTTCCACTGCGTTGGCAAACCAGTAGAGCAGCAGAAGACTGTGGTTGGGCACCGATTGACCAAAGTCGATTTCCTTTAAATCGTTTATTGAATCAAGCTCTTCGTGTGCAGCCGACCCTGAGGTGAAGAGCAGATCTACACGTGCCATCATCCTGTACAGATATTTGATGCATTAATCATCTGTGTCGTACATTCTATTAGTGCTTCTTAAAACCACTCCCAGGTAAACATAGAAACCGGTTCGCTTCTTGCTGTGGTTTGTGCTATGAGGAGTTCAAGTAGTGGAAGGAATCCTTACGGCACGTTCTGTACAAACGTGTATTTCAGCTCAATTTCAATTGATCAATTTACAAAGAAGATTTGAGTTGATTTGCTTCCCCAGACATTTTACATAGTCCCACGATGAATATTATAAACAGAACTAGTGATCATAAAATGATGCCGCTCACCTGTGTTGTTGTTGTTGTCATGCCGTCAGGTATCTGATCTCTCTCTCGCTCTCTCTCTCTGTGTGTGTGTGTGTGTGTGTGTGTGTGTGTGTGTGTGTGTGTGTGTGTGTGTGCGCGCGCCAATTGCTTGTGAGATGTTTTTCTGTAACTAGGTTACAGTTCTGGTGTAAATCAAACCGGCTAAGCAAGCGTTGCTCGTGCTTTCATGCTGTTTTCAGATAGGCTGGTCGATGATATATATACTATACACTATCCTCACATGTTTTATTTCATTCATATGTGTGTAATGTATATATACACACATACCCAAAACTTCTACTTAAGGTATCTATACTTTACCGGAGTATTTATTTTTCAGACGACTTTCTACTTACGTTTAAAAAAACAAAAAACTAGTTATTGCTATTTAATTTGGGCTTCTTTTCATTCCGACATGTTGTCGTTCAAAAACTCACACACACACACACACACACAACCTGTCCAGATAAAATTAGACACCATATTGGTTTTCTCCGCAATGCACCTGCAGATCGGAGTGACGCCTTGTGCGAAAAGTGATCGGTTCCTCCGGTGGTCGGTGGTTGGTTCCTCTGGTGGTCGGTGGTGGGATCCTTTTCATAACGGCATAAACGGCATATATATATATATATATATATATACATTACAGTTTTTGTGGTGCAATTTCGCTGAAATGTGTTAGACACCCTATCAAAGGTTGGCATTTCGAACAATACAACATATTCTATAAAGCCATATATCTGTATATAGATGAACTATATGTTTTTCTCCTCTGTGGATTGGGAATAGTTAAAGTTGTGTTACTGTATTATGTTTGATGGTCCTGTTCATTGTCTGTACTGCTGCTTTTCTACCAGAAGCCAGCAGGAGGCGCTGTCACACAGGTAGTTGTCTGACACCTGGAAGGTATCAGTAAAAGCGTTGCTTAGGCTAGTATAGTTTACATTTAAAACATACCAAGCAGATCAGCGCTCTATAAACCGAAGTATTTCTTCTTCCCGTGACTCGATAAACGTTCCCTCTGTGTATTCACAAAGACTCGCGTTGGTGTTCACTGTGGGAAAGACACAAAGAGTCAAATACACACAAAGGAGACGTGTAGTTTCTCAGTGGTCACCACCCACGTCTTTCACACAGAGGTACTGACGATGCTCTCAACATGTACCGTGCTGCTAGAGATGCTGATGATCCAGTAAATTTTGAGAAATTGATTAACTCATTTCCCCTTTTTGATAGGCCTGTGCTGCGCTCGCACGCGTTCATACACGTCATCCTCTTCACTCTTTATCTGACGGTAAAATTCGGTGACTCGTGCTACTTTTATGCCTCAAGTTTTAGTGGATGTCCTTGGACAGCTGCAGGGGGACGCTGTCCGGGGTCAGACCCTCTGCTCCGCCTGCCAATACTTGACACCAACGACCTTCTGCCGCTCCATCCCCCCCAAAGCTAGATCGTGTCCCCTGCTCCTCTAGAACAAAGCAGCATGCCGTGCAAATCAAACCAATGATTGCTGGTTGCCTGTGCGTGCACGGAGAATCTTTGACAGGGAGGGAATAGTCTATAATAATCTTTTTTTTTTTTTTTTTTTGTAGTGTTGAAAATGATATTGTTTTGACCCGTTAACATCTGTGTCTGCTCGCACAGCTGTAGTTGAGTTGACACAGACTGAGCTATAGTGAAACCTGCAGTGAATTGGAGTACGTTGGGTGCCGAGGGCGAACACCGATTTACAGAAAGCTCAGAAAAAGTTTGTTTCTCTGGAGTTTGGCTCCGGAGAGAGAAGTTTAAGATCGGAGTTGTTCAAAACTTTAATTTGTTAAACGGGGCAAATATGCCGTGTCAGCAGATACTGCTGCGTAGTTAAATTAATTGAATATGGGGGTTAAATGTCTTTCATTAAATGGAGTACAGAAATAAACGTGTTTATTATTATTATGTGAAAACATGTTTTTCCTCTTGGTGTTGTAAAGAACCCAGTGAGGAAGAACTCCTGTGTTCCATGTAAATTACACCAAAATGGGTCTGCGGTGATGAGAAATCCAACTAGCAGAGGCTCCTTTATCTCCTATATCGTCTCGAGTATCTCCTTTTCAAACACTGCACTTTTATTGGGCTGATAAAGTGGAGTTTTGGACGGAGGGAGATGGAATGGGGGGAGAGGGGGGGTTTGGGGAAAATGGAGCGTTTCCCACATTGTAAAACTAAGTTTAACGGTGGTTTATTTCTGCTCCTTATTTGGTAAGTCCGGGTTTCGATCACACGGACGTCCTTGTTTGTTTAATATATTTTGGCAAAGTGCAGAATTTTGAAGGCCTATATCAATCAGTTAGATTCATATTCTATGTATTCTGATCTGGGTGTGACTGGTAATTTAACTTCGAGCTGCTTGGAGACGCGTTTAATTCAACGAAACGAAATCCACCCTTCCAGCCGGTCGTTGCCACTATTTAAGAAAGCGGACTCTTTATTTGGTGAATGCAGGTGTTGCCCCGTGTGCACATGTGCGGCTGTGAGGTTCCACTCCAGCCACTGCACTGCTGTGTAATTACACTTCCTGTGAGGCTGGAGACAGCTGTTTCCTCTCCTCTTTAATCACACGCATACACACTTGTATAAGAATAGTAATCAGCCAAAGTAATTGGTTTGTTCCCAGGTTTGAAGAAATAAATAATTTAAGGCTGCATTTCTGACTATTCAACAGAAAGTTGCAATTTTGAATTGGACTTAAATCTTACTCATCATTATGTCTGGATTCCAACATCAATATATATATACTGATTATATCAACGTAGGACGCCTTTATTGGATGCTCATGTTGTTGTTGTCTAGCAGTGCGTGAGGACGTTGCTGCCGGATTGTTCACTTTTCTCTTTGCTGTGAAAT